TACCTAAAAGTAGTAAAGTCACGAAGGCATGCAAAATTAATACTTGTATTCTCAGTACTCGTACTTAACGCATTATTGATAACAATGGTATTAAAATAAAAAAGGTTGCGATATTTAAACAATAGCAGATAATAATTTACTCATAGAGTACCGCACCGACCGCACGCCTTTAGTGACTCCTTTGATGTTATCGATAAAGGGCTTGTGCACACGTCGCGTACGCTCAACACTAAGCAAGTGGGAGAGAAAGCGCAATATCGCAGGCCCGCTCCGATGTTACATGGTCGAATCTGCAGCGAGTAAACAATCTTACTATACTGCTTTATACGTGGACAAACAGTCGATTGCCGACGATGAGTATGTGTTGGCCCATAGTCGTTTTATAATAGTTTCTAGCACAAAAAATAATCGTAAAGTCCCATGACTCACACGTGTTGCGGACAGCGAGCAGCATCGCTACCAATAAGTAGTGTAGGTGAGGTAGTAATGGTCCAGCACTGAAGAGAAAGCCCCATAGCTGCGGGATTTCAGTGCGTGGAAATTCTCGCCCGAAAAGCAGGCGCAGCCAGCGTCTGTAAGTTAAGATATTCATACTGTATTGTATGAACTCATATACGTCCAGGATCAGATGATAACGTAATTGCCTTAGACAAATTAAATCAAGCAGAAATGTCGTTAATTTTGTTTAAAAATTGTCCTTTAAAAAACTGAGATCACTCGTTGTGAAATTCGAATAGTATGAGAATACTATTCTACTTTCGCCGTGAAATCAATCGGTAAAATAAAAAAATGAAGCCCCTAGTATAGTCGATGCCCTAAAATACCTTACCCCCTAGCTGAGCTTTTGTTTCCGAGAGCATTCTTACGCTTTCAACAGTTTTCTGTTGCGTCTGCGAATGGGAATTTCATGGAAATGTAATTAAAGATCAAATTGGCTTAAAAAGTTTCTAACGACGTCATTCACTAATGATGTAAAGAAATTACGTCTAAAGCGTGAAAAAGTTAGTAATATGAAAACGAATTTTGCGGTTCACAGGTTAAAGGGTAAATTTAACACTTTTCTTTACACTTATCTACTCAGATATAAATGGTCGGATAAGGGGGTCAGGTATCTTAGGGTATAGACTATATAGGACTGTTAGTCCTATTTAGTCCTATATAGTTGTCATTAATTATTATAAAATATTAATTCGACCTCGCGCTCGGTGTGTAGACGGCATTCGTTTTGTAGATTTTCACGATGTTTTATGTCGCCTTTATTACAAAGTGAATATATATTGAATATATATTCAAATCACTATTTTGTAACTTTGAAGTAAATGATTTTTAATGAAAAAACTTACATTCCAAATAATTCCATTGTAATATTGCAATTAGTTAAATGCGCAGCCAACTCTGAATCTAGTTGCAATAAGTATTCTTCTTTAACCTTTTCCAAATATCGCACTACTTCATTCGGATTCTGTTAAATATTGAGGCATAAAAAAGTATTACAGAATATTTTGTTAAGTAAAGAAAACAATTAAATCAACATTTTACAATCAACACTTACATGAATTGTTGTAGCCGTAGGCAATCTGCCACATGCTGAAGGAACGATATCACCCGTTGTATAGAACTTTTCTAATCCTTTCATTACTGTACTGAATAACATACTGAAAAACACAATAGATTTGACATATCATGTTAAAAATCTGAACTATTTAAAAAAACTAACAAGTATACTTACTAACTATCATGTTCTAAGTAGCTGCTGTCCAAATAGCATTTTAATGTACCGCTGGAATAAAAGGAGAACTTGACAATATGAAAATCAACTAAAAATAAGTAATGTCTACTTAAAATCAATACCTTAGAATTGATGGTGCATATTTCCTATCCATATTAAGTTCGAAGAGGAGTGGTGCTAGAATCTCGTGCATTCCTTGTCTATAGCCAGTATTTGAATGTGATCGGGCCCAGAAAAATAGGATACGGACCTGAGTAAAAGAAGCAATTGATGAATACCGCTAACTGTGATATTCTATTTCATTGTCCTATGTGTGGTGTGCCATAAGAAAGCAACAATAATCGCCGTTGTAGCCTAATGGTTTAACTTACCGCCTCAAGCAGATACTGTAGGTTCGAATCCGGGCTTGCACCTCTAAGTTTCTCGAAATTTATGTGCGATATTTAATTTGAAATTTACCATGAGCTTTTCGATAATCGAAATCATAGCTACGATGATTATGATACATATTGTGCCTACCTATATGAATAGTTAATAACAAATTTCATTTGAAATCTTGAGCTTTTCAGTGAAGGAAAACATCGTGTTGAAACCTGTATGTCGAAGAAGGATCGCAATCCTCGGAAAACGCGTGAAGTTCCCAAGCCGCATTGGGCCAGCGTGGCGGACTATGGCACAAACCCTCGCCTGAGAGGAGACCCGTGTCCAGCAGTGGGACATATGATGATGATGATAATGTCATAGAAATTTGGAGATTTTAATTGGGAGAACTAAAGAAACTTAACAAAAACAATTTGATTTACCATCATGTCCTGAATGTGTTGGTCACGAAAATATACTTCATCAGGGAATGTTCGTACCACATCTTGGAGAATTAATGCTTTCAACTCATTATCACAAAAATGTTGCTTCCATACGCTCTAAAAAAGAACAGCAATTTTAAGGAGTGACACACATTATATAGTAACAAGTATAAGGTTGTTGCTTGTTCATCCTGTCACGTCATATCATATTTGATTAATCCAAATATTAATTAAATAAATAACACTAGCTCACCTCATCATTCTGAGATAATGGATCATCACCAATCACAGTTCGAGGGTCCATAGAAAGTTTCGATTTAAGATCTTCATAGTAATTTCTGTGTGCTCTTATACTGTTATCAAAAAAGACTTATTTTATTACTTCTTTATATATAACAATATGTCGCACGCTATTACAATAGTGTTACAATAGTATAACTAAAAATATGTGAAATCCAAGATTATACAATTGTTGAACGTAAAATTTAATTCTCTACAGGTCAATAAAACCGTCGCTAGAATATTGAAAAAAAAAAATGTCTACTTAACTCAAATAAGACATGCTTTATGTGACCAAAGTAGTGTGTAGTTCTGACCAAAATAGTTATTCAAAAATTAGAAATTATTTTTTCTATTTTATTTTTCAATATGTAAATGTGGTAAGAAGAAAATAACCTGTACATAAATTTACACAGATCTTTCACAGGAAACGAGTAACTCGTTTTTTGTCGATTCTGAGAAAATACTTTTTGAGTTAATTACTATTGTATTAAAAGTGCGATATATGAGGTCTACCACTGTCAAGCCCTAAGAAAAAAACGTATACACTTTTTTTCCAATTTGGGGTAAAATAACAGTTAATTAACCATGCAAATATTTTTGGTAGCTTATGAGCAGCTAGTGAATGCAATTGATTAATATAATATTCTATCGACTGTCGACTGAATATTGGTTATTTATGCTTATATGTATAATAATGGTCGTACTTATTTCACTTGAATTTATCTATGCTTATTACAAAGTATTTAAATCATAAATACTTTATAATTTAAATACTTTATAATAAGAATAGAAACCATTTTGGAAGGATAAGATTGTGCCTCTCCATGTCATGAATTGATTCAGATAGTTGGTCCAACTGTGAAAATAAGAAGAAGGGAGGTGATAACGCATTTTTTTGTCATGAGAATGTTATAAAATCCACTATTCATGCGTTTCTGCAGAATAATCTACATATCATAATTATCATTTTATATGGGGCCTAACAAACTATCTGAGGGTTTTAAAACTAGTCTTGATTATTTCATGAACCAGGAATTGTTAGGAATGAACTCCTAACACTGACCGAAAGGAACTAGTTGCTTGAGCACGATCATAATAGTTCATCTGTCTTTTAGCTCCGTAGGAATGGGACCTGTTTGCGGAGCCACAGACGAGAGGCGATCATATTAGTTAATTATTAACTGCCTCCGTGGCCGAACGGTTACCATGCCAGACTGCCACGAAGAGGACTCAGGTTCGATTCTCTACATTTCTTTCTCTCGTGAGTTTGGGTGTAATTTGTGGTTGTCTATGTAGTGTGTCCATGGCACCCGCGACACAGGGTGTCCCTAGTGCGGGGATATGTTGAGTGTGTGCGTTATTAGTTCATGTGTCTTTTTACTTCCTCCAGTTCAGAGACGCGAGGCGAGACGGTGCGAACGACACAATTAATGGGCTGTCATTGCTTTTAGTACAAGTTCGAGTGGATGGATTGAACCTTGCCAGATCGTTTAAAACGACAGAAATCTAAATAAATATATTCCGATTTCAGTGACTCAAATATAAAGTAATAATTAGTATAAAAATAAGTACACAATAAACTTTTTACATAGTTACTTTTATTTCCTTTATTTTTAACACACACACCATATATAATATACATAATAACGTGAGGCGCACTATAAGTTTCCGGAATGAATAAGAAAAAAATACTATAAATGGTCAGAAATGAATTTATTGTTTCTCAAAATATTCTCCGTTAACGTTAATGCACTTTTTCATACGAATGAACCAATTTTGAAAACATTTATGCCACTCCTCCGTGACAATCTATGAAACATATTTTTGAAACTCTTCGACAGCCTCTCCAGGTGATGAAAATCGTTGACCGCGTAACTTAATTTTTGGAAATAAATAAAAGGCACAAGGCGCTAGAACGGGATTGTACGCGGGATGGCTCATAAAGCCAACGTTGTTCACCTTCAAAAATATATTTGTCTGTCTGGCCGTGTGAGAACTGGCATTATCGTGGTACAAGATGATACGGCTTCGAATGAGGTTTCGAACGATTCTCCAAATCAACAGTAGCCACGTGTCCAGTTTTATTAAAAAAATAAGCAATCATCCGCTTAGAGGCACTTTGCACGCGCGCCACTTTGGTTAGTTTCGGCTTGTCTCGAAAGACCCATACGCTCGATTGCTGCTTTGTTTTAGGTTCGTAACTATACATCCATGTTTCGTCACCTGTTACTATGTCCCACACCAAATTTGACGCCCCTTCGTTGAATCTGGTAGGCATGACATTGCACCAAGTGACGCAATCCGTTTTTTGAGCCTCAGTCAAATTGTGTAGGATTCATCGAGAGCACAGCTGTTTCACACCCAAATGTTTGTGTAGTATTGATTGTATTTGATTCATGCCTATGCCTAAAGATGCCCGAATCTCATGACATGTCACATGCCTCTGTCTGTTTTGTTCATACGGCGCACAGCACCGCTGTTTTTGTTGTTCACAGCTGTGGACGGGCGACCATCACGAAATTCGTCACTGAGATTCACGCGACCGCGTTTGAATTCCGCAAACCAGCTATAAATAGTCGTCTTGCATGGTGCTTCATCGCCAAACGCAGTTTGAAGCCGAGCGAAGCTCCGCTGAGCTGTTATGTTACACTTAAAGTCGTATAAATCATACTACGAAAATTTTCACGACATAAATCCATGGTGATGTAGACGACCAATTTCTAAAATGACGCCACAATGTAAAAACAAATGACAGTCAGATGAAACAAACTGTATTCTACAGCCAAAGAGTTCCATTTTCAAATGTTCTAATTACTTTTTAAATATTGTTTATGTAAGTGGCCAGTTCTGGAAAGTTATAGTGTGCCCTATGTATACATATTAATAAGCATACCTATATCCATAGGAAATGAAAACATTTTTCCGGATTTAAATAGCGTATATTTGTTTTTCAAACAAACTAACGTTTCGGGCCCTTTACAGGTCCCATGGTCACGGTTGACTGAGGTGGTACAGTCATCAACCAGTTATGTCTAATATTAATGCAAACTACCCTATTTTTTCACAATAGTTACAAAAATTATTAATTTAATAAATAAAAGTAAGGTATTTAATTAATAACTTTTGTAACTATAGTGAAAAAATAGGGTGGTGTGCATTACTATTAGACATAACTGGTTGATGACTGTACCACCTAAGTTAAAAGTGATCATGGGACCTGTACAGGGCCCGAAATGTTGATTTGTTTGAAAAAACAAATATATGCGATATAAATCCGAAAAGTAGTTTCATATCGTATGTGTAACAATCGCGAAAACCTAAGAACTCGATATACCTATATCAAATAACAAACTCAAATACAACAAACATATATGTACTTTGAAATCAAATTATAACAACATTTTAAAAAAATACAGAGAAAATAATTGTAAATATGAAAAATCATTATTCGAAAAACACTATACGTGTATCAAAGAGGGCAAACAATAAAACATTCCCATATAAATCCATGAATTGCTCATATGGATCATTTCATTCTGTGTCCTTCAAAGACCGAAATGGTACCTATTTTTCTATTTCCCAGATAACACTGAATTAAGGAAGTAAAAAAAACTAAAAGACCGGATTAGTTCATTTGTCCGAATGAACTAATTGGGATCGCACCCTCCCTAAAGACCAAGCAGGCACAAGCCTATTTAAAACTGTTTAAGAGGATTCCCTTATTTTTACACAGTCATAATATATCTGATGACAGATTTTTGCTGACTTCTCTGTTTAGAGATATCATACATGTGTATACAGTAAAAATAATTATTACCTCTTTACAAGATTATCTTGAGAAGGCGGAGGGAGAGCATTCAGCAGTATGGCCCAAGCAAGGCTCCTTGGCCGAGACAGCCTCAAATGAATAGCAGCTGTCTTTAGGTTTTCTTGACTCCATGCTGGCAGTAACAAACTGAAAAATAATCATTAAAACCCACTTGGTATGTTTTATATTTGCTTAAAAGTTATTTGATCACTGTAAACATTGATTGGGACCTGATAACACTGTCTTGTCAAATTTTTTGCTTCTCTTGTGTCATGTTATGTCCAAAAACAAATCAGATAGGGTAATCATGTTACTCCCAAATAAGAGATCACAATATTCCTGAGCTCTTTAAAAATAGGAGCATAAAACGAAGTTTATTCTGATGTAATATTTAAGAAAATTGTAGAATTTCATATTAAGTTACAAACCAACTATACAATTGCAAGTATAGGTATAGAGATAAATAGAATAACTTAGTAACAACAAAGTTATGATTGTACATGTAGATCTATAGGAGATTCCCAAACTTTTTGTCCTGTAAACTATGTGCCAATTTATTCTGTTTTGTGTGGACCCCATTCCTTTTTAATATGATTTTTTTACAAATTCATCAACTTCGAATGTGTTTGTGATAGCTAACACAGTGCTACTCACATTAACAAGTTTAAACGTGTAGTGAGAAATTTTACAAAAAAACACATTTGAATTTTATAAATTTATCTAACTGAGTATCTACATAGTTGGTTGTAAAATGTTTAGTCCATAAGCAATTTATATGTCTATAATAAAGAAAGTATTAAATAAGTTCAAGGTGTGTTGTTTCTATGTTGGGCATTTCCTTCATGGTTCAGGTGACAAATATCCATATTCAACAAAAGTCTAGGGTCGATGACGTGTATCACGGGGTTAAGGAAATGGATAGGATATTTAGTGAAATAAGAATAGACCAAAGTAGTCAAGTACCTACATTAAGCAGCAGCTCCCACAATATACTAATGTAATGTACCTACTAAGGTTTACACTGTTTTGTATTTTGTGATGAGAAATAAACATAATATTTATTTTTATTATTTTAAAAAGTAATCAGTGGGCAGAGCACCGGTTTGATGGTCTGACAGTATTGTCAGATTTGCAGGATCGTGTTGGATGTAGAATGAAAGTAGTTGCAATAAAGAAGAGGCCTATGCCCAGCAGTGGGTTAGTGAAGGCTGAATATGATGATCATGCATGCCATTATAAAGGAATTGGAAATGGATGATGATTATATAAGTTCATACTACTATTATCTGTGAAATGTGCATAATGTGGCATTTATGAAAAGTCCAAATTTTGATCACAACCTGCCTAAATGAATAAACCTGCCATCCTAGTAATAATTTTGTTAGAAAAGAGATTGCATGGTGTGTGCAAACTGCCTTTTGAAATCTGAAAAATGTCAACTGTCTCCAAATTCTCTCGTGTCAACCAGCTAGTTTAATAAACTTAAATTACCAATTTGCTGTCTTATTGTGGTTTAAATTCATCGTCGACTGTTATATCTACAGGGTTATGGGCGGACGACGGGTATGTATATAAATAAATCTACACATTAAAGGCCCATTTAGATGGAGAGTTTCTCGTCTCGAAGATACGATTATCGAAAGAATATAAAAAACTTTCCTCGTCTAAACATTTGCGATTATCGACCGTCCACGTGAGCAATAATCGCCTTGCCTTTCAATATTGAACGTCTCCGTGTAAACAGAACTCGAAAGCAAAAATCGTAGTTCAAGTTTCTGTGCCAGCCGTTTCTACCACGAGTGCAGTGCGCGAGGGTGTTTTGATTATCACTGCTTTTCTAAGACAAGAATTAATGAAACGAGAAAGAAAAAAAAATTGGATTAAGAAATGTTATAAAATTTGAAAACAAAAAAAAAATATTTCTCTACAATGCAATGAACTTAATATTATCAGCAGTTCCAAATTTGAATGATTTTTGCGTCATTTCGATATGTCCATAGTCAATACCGCAGTCGAAAACTCGTAAGCAAGAATCTCCTTACTACATATTTCTCTGTGTAAACAGTCGAGGAGGCGATTAAGTTGCTTGCGAATCTCGTATGACATAATCGTAGGCGAGATTTTAGTTCTTGCCTGAATGTAAACATTATGATACGATAATCTTATGGCGATTATTGCTTACGATAATCGCGTACGAGTTTTCGTCACGAAGCGTGCGAGAAGCTCTCTCCGTCTAAATGGGCCTTAAGTTGCAGTATGTCCAGTGACAATAAGAAGATAGTCGCTGACAGAAGTGAATCGAGTTGTACGAGTGATTCATATGCTGGAACCATGAGCAGTACGCCTGTTATAGAAAAACTTGATGGTAATTCGAACTACTCAACATGGAAGTTCCAGATGGAGATGTACCTTATGGACGGGCCTATGGGAGTACACGAGTGTCACACCCGATGCTACAGATATTCAAGGTACTAAAAGAGACCAACGAGCAAGAGCAAAGATTTGTTTAATGATAAAACCTCATTGTCTGATTCATGTCAAGAAGGCAACCAACGCTAAACAGACGTGAGACGCCTTAAGGAATGCATTTGAAGACAAAGGTTTAAACAATCGTTGTAGGCTAGTTAGCTACAAGCTTGAAAATTTTTCAACTGTAAGAGATTACGTTAATGCGGTAATGACAACATCTCAAGAGCTGTCAGATCTTGGAAAAGAGATAGATGATGAGCTTTTGGCTGCATTATTACTCCAAGGCCTAACAAAGTATTTTCAACCTATGAGGCTAGTGATAGAAAATAGTAACATTGAGCTTACTACTGATTATGTCAAAACCAAACTTTTCCAAATGGAAGAAACGTTCTCTGCTTCTACGTCTGGTACTCTCGACATCCTCTGCTTTGTTATCCAAACAGAAAAACAAAAAAGCCTCGAGCACATGTTAAGAAAATTAAATGTTTCATCTGTAACGGACCACACAAAGCCTCTGTTTGTCCAGATAACCCAACAAAACGAAAAGAAGCGCGGAATACGTTTGCTTTGGCAACTGAAGTTTCTCAAAATGAATGGATCCTCGATTCTGGTGCTTCGTCACACATGACTCATAAAAAGGAGTGGTTTAAGGACTATAAGAGTATTAATCCTATCACAGTGTCATGTGCAAATGGTGCTAAAGTATATGGAGAAGGAAAAGGTACAGTAGTATGCGAGCCATTAAGGATGACTGTAAGTAATGTTATGTACTCGTATATACCTAAATTATCAACTAATTTACTGAAAGTAAATACTGTACTCTAGGCTCTACTCAATGAGTAGAACTACTGGCTGAATGAATATAGTTTTGTATTTAGAATGTGTTTGAAAAAATGGAATAGAAAAGTAGAACATCTTGATAGATCGAATAGTAACCTCAAGAAATGAACATGTAAAAAAGTGCAATAAATATCCAGTTTTGAAGATTATCCCAGTTTATATTTATAAAGTACCTCTCGCTACGCAACATAAGTTACGCCTCAGGTTACAGTACTATTGCCGAGAAAGGGTATGTAATAGTATTTGGTCACAGAGTGGTGAACTGTTTAAAAGTGATGAATGCAAGATTACTGGTACAGCATTTATCAAAGGTGTAGAAGAGAAAGGCGTATATAACTTGAAAAGATGCTGTTTGCAGGGTTTTGCTCTCGCGTCCACAACTGAGTGCAATGAGATGTTGGACCTGTGGCACCAAAGGATGAGACATCTTGGTATACGCAATCTCTTATTATTAAAAAACAAAATGGCGACAGGGGTAAGATTTCCTGGAAACTGTTTGAAACTCCAGTGTGTATCTTGTTTAATGGGAAAACAAACGAAACAATCTAGAAAAAGAACACAGGTGCTGTTCGAGCTACCGACGTGCTAGGTCTGATCCACTCAGATGTCTGTAGGCCGATGAATGAAATGTCTTTCGGCAAATGTCGTTACTTTCTTACCTTTGACGACGATTTCACACGTAAAACGTTTGTGTATTTTAGTTTATCTTAAAGCATAAAAGTGAAGTTTACGAGAAATTTCTAGAATTTAAAGCACTTGTTGAAACACAAACTGTCAAAAAGATCAAAGCACTTAGGAGCGACAATGGGAAAGAATTTGTGAACCAAAGAATGAACAATTTCTTAAAATTCAACGGCAAAAAAAAGGCGTCGCCAAACGAGCCAATCGTACAATATGTGAAAAGAGCAGATCAATGTTGAGCGGTCTTCAAAGGAAATTTTGGGCAGAAGCTGTCCAACATGCCGTCTATTTAAAGAATAGATCACCTACTATAGCTTTAAAAAATAAAATGCCAGAAGAAGCATGGACAGGTAGGAAGTGTAACTTAGATAATATCAAGGTTTACGGATGCAAAGCCTTAATGCACATTCCTGACCAAAAACGGAAGAAGTTTGATCCTAAAAGCCGAAAGTTAGTCCATATAGGACGTTGGGAAAATGCCAAAGCCTACCGACTATTGGATCCTATAACCTGGTAGAGTATATAAAGCAAAGGATGTGGTGTTCTTTGAAGATCAATTATATAAACGCAATGAACTCTCTAACTCAGGTGCAGAACTTCAGGTTCAAGTGGATCATCAACTAGTGGAAGAAGTCCCCTTATCCAGTTCTGAAATATCTACAGAGGTAGATACAGATATCAGAAAAGATGATGAGTTACCTAAAGCTGAAGCAGAAACTCAAATTGTTCATCAAGTCACCAGACCAAGTCAGGTTTCAGTAGAAGCGTACAAAGAGCCTGAAGACGATAACTACGTGTCAGTTGATGAAGGAAAACGAGCAGAGCCTGTGACTGAAAGGAGGTATCCTTTAAGAGAAAGGAAAGCCAAGCAGTTCCCTGATTACATTTTGTATCATGCAACTGAAATGGAAATGGACCCGACTTCAGTTCATGAAGCTTTGTTAAGAAAAGATGGTGGTAAATGGAGAGCAGCAATTCGAGAAGAATTAGATGCACTCAGTAAAAATAACATATGGACCCTGGTAAAACCTCCTAAAAACTGCAACATAGTTGATTCCAAATGGTTATTTAGAATCAAGGAAGATAATTGGAAATAAGATGAGGTACAAAGCGCGACTAGTTGCACGTGGTCTTAGTCAGAGATGGGGCATTGACTACTATGAAACCTTTTCTCCTGTGGTGAGACATAGCTCACTAAGGTTATTGTTAGCATTAGCAAGCAAGATGGAGGTAAATGTTGACCAAATGGACGTAAAGACGCCTTCTTAAATGGCGAATTAGCTGAAACCGTTTCATGTAAACCTGAAGGTTTCGAGGTAGAAGACAAAAAATAATACGTCTGTAAACTCAATCGCTCATTATATGAATTAAAACAAGCACCGAGGGCGTGGATTAGACAGTGAATTGAAACAACTTCAATTCAAACAGTCAAAAAACGAACCCTGCATATATACAAGATCCAGAGGTAGTACAGTTATCATCCTAGCAGTGTATGTTGATGATATGTTAATATTCTGGAACAACAGAGAAGAACTTCAGAAGGTCAAAGAAGACTGATGTCCAAATTTGAAATGAAGGTTCTTGGACAAGCAGATCTTATTTTGGGTATCAGAATTACATAAAATAAAAATGAAATAAAAATAGATCAAGAGAAATTCGTCGAAAAACTTTTAAAAACGTATGGAAAATTGCAAGACAAGTGCTGCTCTGGCAGCACCCGGGTCTCATTTGTCAAGAGAAGGAAATTCCGAAAAAAAAAAAGACAATGAAAACATTCCATACCAAAACTTGATCAGATCCTTAATGTACCTGTCTGTGTGCACTAGACCGGGTATAATGCATACAGTTAGCACTTTAAGCCAGTTCAATACTTGTTTCACACAAGAACATTGGATAGCAGCAAAAAGATTTCGAAGGTATCTTAAGAGGACAAAATCCTATGGAGTAAAGTATTATAAAAACTGTAGTTCCGAAAATCTTGTACAAGGATTCTCAGGTGCCAGTCATGGTGGAGATATGGATTGGAAATCCTGGTCTGGTTACGTTTTTACAGCTCAAGGAGGAGCTGTATGCTGGCAGAGCATAAAACAGCGGACAATAGCTCTTTCAACAACTGAAGTGGAATATGTGGCCCTATCAGAAACAACGAGAGAGGTAGTATTCATTAGAAGACTTATAGCAAAGATCACCTGTACTAAGGAACAGTGCATCACCATCTTCAGTGATAGTCAATCTGCTATAGCCATTACAGGGATTCCTGTGCACCACCAACGCACTAAGCATGTTATGTTATCATTTTGTCAGAGAAGCTGTAGAGAACAAGCAGGTAGTAATAAACTACATTGAAACAAAACGTATGGTTGCAGATGTTTTAACTAAAGCCTTGGTAAAAGGGAAATTTTAATGGTGTGTGTATATGATGGGTTTGAGAGAGTGTTCAAACTGTACTCAATACTCAAGTCAGGACTTGAGCAGTGAGCACTGAAAATCATACTCAAGTCCTTGCTATTAGGGTTGTATGTCCAGTGCTTGAAATCATACTCAAGTCTGCTCAAATCCTGGCTTGTGACTTGAGCATTGAGTAGGTCGTATTCTAGAACTCTACTCAATGCTCAAGTCAGGATTGCACTGGAAACACAAGACTATGGAAACTAAAGGACATGTTACGTTGACATATATAAATCGGACGTTATATGTATATGATGCATTTCGACGTCGAAAACATAAACATGTTATTGTCTTTGTTCAACTATTACGTGTCGTCTTAAGCCAAAAGAGACAGCATTACATTGGTCTGTGTCAAACACGGGAATTGAAAATACGGAACGTCATCGTAAATGCCAACAGTATCATGTACATGAGGTACATGATACCGTTGTCAAAGGGAAGTATATCAAATGTCAAAACAAATGTTTTTCCAAATGTACTATTGAATTATTCGCATGTATTATAATTAAATTGGGCAAAAATATTGAGATATACACTGAGAATAATTAGGTATTAATAAAAATGCGACACTGTATTAAAAGATGTGGCTTTAGAAAAAGTGCAAATTAATCGAACATTACATTACACAGGCATGTGTTATTTTTTTGTCTATAAATCACACATTAGCCCAAATATTTAATGTAATTAGACTTATTTAAGTAGTTTATTTATAAATCTTGCTAAATTTCGCTTTTGTTACTTTAGATTGCCTGTTTGTTTGTATATTTTGATGATTGTTGGTAATGATTATTTTGAGATAGTGTTGATCTTGTAAGCATACATATTATCGATATTCTGTTATTAAAACAACTCATTACGAGGTTTTTATTGTTTTATTAATATTATTTTTATCATTTCAAGTTTTCCTACAAATGAAAAAAGGAAGAAACAATGGTTGGAAATCATAGGACTGCCGAATATAAACATTGGATCAAAGACCATCTTCATTTGTTCGCTTCATTTTGAAAAGTCAAATTTTAACAGAACTTTTTAATGTAACTAGATTACAGACAATGCTATTCCATCATTAGGCTTATTGGTAAATAATTTTATGTTCAATTTAGATTAAACAAGACTCATTTACAAGTTATTCTCAGTTCCTGAAAACAAAATTATCCACTTGTTTCTGATTTTTCCCAATAACAACTCTAATTATTAAAAATGACTATTTTGTAAAACCTGCAGTACAATGACATGTTAGTCCAATGTTGCGGGGTAAAGGCCAATACCAATGTTTAGACAGCCTATTTGCCTTGCCTTGCCATCTTTTCGTTTCATAATAATATACCACTAGAGATTAAATTATTAGACTTGTATTTGTTTAGCCATACTTTGGGTACAGTAAACTAAAGAAACAAAGAAAACAGTTTCAACATTCAAGCTATACATTTGCATATCGGTAATGACTTATTGATAGATTATGGTACAACACTAAAGAAATGCGCCATTTGTAACTTTCAAATTTTGGTTATAAGCACGTTGATTCTGTAGTTAGTGCAGCTCCTTTCTTTTATTCTTTTCCATCCTCCAAGGTTCGAGTGAGAAATTGTCTTGTGTCAACCGGCTAGTGTAATAAACTTAAATTACCAATTTGCTGTCTTATTGTGGTTTTGAAATTATTATTATACTTTTTACTGACATGGACCCCTTGTTGTTTCATGAGTGTCGAAGTAGACAACTTGGGGATCATTTATAAAATTACTTTTTATTAAAAGAGATAAGAGAGAAGTTTTATTACAAGATCTTGCTAGCTAGCATTTCTGGATTGTAGGACTCACCTACACAGTTACCTCATTTACAAAGTTAACTATTTTTATGTGACCAATCGAGCAGTCATTGTGCTATCGCGCGTTTTTTTTTAGTAGTAGGTATTTTGTTACAATTTATCCAAACAAAGTCTGATGGTTATTTCTTCAGGTTCCAGACAAGAATTCGTGTATTTTATCTGTATAGATTAATGGTGTTAAGTTTACATAACTATGAACGTATCCACTATATAGTACCCGAGTCGTTGATTAACAGATAAACAATTATGCACAAAGGAAGTAAAATCGTTTTATCAAGTTTGATAAGACACTACTTACTCGTATTCGGCGGTTTCTAAATTATTTCTTGGAGGAGAGCCTGGCGAACCGTCTGCACTGTTATATTCCTGTGATGCACAAAAGCATCGGCATTAAACATTTTACCAATGTACAAAATAACTTTGCTTTCACGTAAACACCTACCATTTTACAATTTACTTATAATAATAATGATATCGTAACTGTATGCCTTCATAAGCTATGATTCTTTGGAATATTTCATAACTCGCATTAATATATACATTATTTTCAGATTTTGATAAAGTTTAATAATATAAAAATAGCCGAAACACAACGAACGAAAACACATAATACAAATGTCAGTTGTCAAACATCAACTTTTCTTTAATTAATAATTTTGGCTTCGATACAATGGCTTTGAGCCATGTCTTCGTTTAATTAAGTTTCTGTAAATATGGCCGCCACAAAGATGAGGCGGCGTGCTTGGATTGACTCCGGATTCCTTAAAACGGGCCGTTAGGGTATTTTAGTTCGTGATTCGTATAATTTCGCATTTTATTACACAATAATTGCTCCTACATTATAGTTAGGCGCTATTTATAAAAATTAATCTTCATGCATTAACAGCCACCCTTAAAGGTGAATGATTTTCTTCAAAATGAAATGGGACCATTATGGAAGTACCCCCTTTCCAACAGAAAAAGAATTATGAAAATCGGTTCACAAAGACCGGAGTTATCGCGTAACACACATACAAAAAAAAGAACATACAGTCGAATTGAGAACCTCCTCCTTTTTGAAATCGATTAAGAAAAAGAACATACAGTCGAATTGAGAACCTCCTCCTGTTTTGAAGTCGGTTAAAACTTCTACATCACTGCATTCAATCGCCTTACGCGCCAGTTGATCTGCGCGTTCATTGCCTGGGATGCCGAAATCACTCGACACCCAAGCAAACAATATAGCCTAGCCTTTTATTGTGCACTGATAAAGTAAATTTCTAGTTTCTAATATAATGGGACAAATCAGTTTAGAACTAAACGGAAACTTGAACAATGATTGTAATGCGCTCATAGTCAGAAAATATTATACTGTTGTTTGACTTAGCTATTAGAATAAACTCACACTTTTAAATAAACCAAAACATTCTGCGATGAATACAGAAGTTTCAGGTGGTAACTTAATCTTTTGGACTATTTTAGATTGTTGATGATACACTCCCACTTCAACATTTCCAGCAAGAGAGCGTTTTGATGCGTCACTAAATAAATAATGCCAATGCTAACCATCAAAATCATTCTCAGTAATAAAGCGTAAAGATTGAGGAGCATCAAAATGGCTTTTAATAATTCCTAAATTTAAAAATTAAAACCTCTGAAGTATAACAAAAAAGAGGACAGTGAAAATATTGATAAGTGCGGATTTGAAGAGCAAGGTATTTGTAAAAACCAATGACAAGACATGGTAAAGATTTTCGAGTCCAGTATGGAGAAGATGCTATTTCTCGGGAAAGACACTGAAGTTTAGAAGAGGATGATTTGAAAGTTGCAAGCATCGAAAGAAATACTTGTCAGTCAAATACGAAAACTGACGTCGTAATCGAAGTGGAGGATCTACACACTCGACCTGCAATGCATTTATGGGTCTAGACTTCATGGCACCTGACAGAATTCTCAAAGCCTTTGATTGAACATTGTCTAACTTTTTAAATGCCATAATACTACTTGGCTCTAAAAGAAAAGTGGCGTAGTCCAATATACTCCTTATTAAGGCATTATAAACAAGTTTAATAGTTTTGAGTTTAGAGTCCAGTACAATACCTAGAAATTTATTTTGAAGTCTAACTGGGTCTAAGTAGTCTAAGTAGGGATGGAATCATATAAAATTTCAAGATCCGGTGGGTAGCGCATCCTAGAGAACAAGACTATTGCACTTTTTGAAGCAGACAAACAAAGTACATTAGCATCCAACCAAAGTTTAAAAAAATTAAGAGATGAGGACAAAATATTACAAGCTCTAGGAATGTTTGTATCGGATACGTACAACAGCAAATCGTCGGCGTATTGTAAAATTCCAACTGTGTCGTAGAGAGCAACCTTCTATTCTGCATAAATGTGTTAACCCACAGAAAATCGTAAAATGAGTAATGAATACAGTCTTATACCTTGTAATATAAAGTTTAATATTCCACGTGTCCAGTTTTATTAAAAAAAGAAGCAATCATCCGCTTAGATTCATTTTGCACGTGCGCCATTATTGGTTGGTTTCGGCTCATCTCGAAAGACCCATATGCTCGATTGCTGCTTTGTTTTGAGACGTAACTATAAATTCATGTTTCGTCACCTGTTACTATGTCTCACACCAAATTTGACGTCCCTTCGTTGAATCTGGTAGGCATGACATTGCACCAAGTGACGCAATCCGTTTTTTGAGCCTTAGTCAAATTGTGTGGGACCCACCGAGAGCACAGCTTCTTCACACTTAAATTATTGTGTAGTGTTGATTGCATTTGACTCATGCCTATGCCTAAAGATGCCCGAATCTCATGGTATGTCACATGCCTGTCTGTTTTGATCATACGGCGCACAGCATCGATATTTTTGTTGTTCAGAGCAATGGACGGGCGACCATCACGAAATTCGTTATTGAGATTCACACGGCCGCGTTTGAATTCTGCAAACCAGCTATAAATAGTCGTCTTGCATGGTGCTTCATCGCCAAAAGCAGTTTGAAGCCGAGCGAAGCTCCGCTGTGCTGTTAAATTTTGCTTAAAGTCGTAGAATATCGTACTACGAAAATTTTCACGAGTTAAATCCATGGTGATGTAGACAACCAATTTCTAAAATGACGCCACAATGAAAAAACAAGTGACAGTCAGATGAAACAAACTGTATTCTACAGCCAAAGAGTTCCAAATTTAAAATTTTCAAATGTTGTAATTACTTTTAACCCTTAAACTCAGCATGCGTATGTTTTCATACGCACAATGCTCTACTACCGTAGGCTCAGCATGCGTATGAATTCATACGCATACACTACCAATTTGAAAAGATTTTTTTGGTGTAGCCAAATCCTTGTAAGTATTGATGGTTTGTACGTGAAAACAAAGCTGATGGTGTGCTCTTTCATTTGGTGTATAATACTCGTGACCTTTTGTTTGTGGTATCGAGTTATATCAGTTTGAAAATTCCCGGCGAACGAAGTGCTCGCGCGCGTTGTTTGAGTTTATCAAATAAGTGTTTTCAAGTGAAAAGTGAGTGAATTTTGTTCCGATTGCTAATAGAAAATATGCATTGGACTTTTACGTAAGTAATGCTATCATAACATGAATTGTGAGTGCAGTAATACGTAAGTATTTTCACTTTCAAAGTTATCGGTACGACTTTTTCTGTGTTTCAAATACTTTATAATGTGTTATTTGACTAAAAGAAACATTTGGTTGTATATAATATGTAATAATAATACAAGTGCAACATCCTTTTATAAGATTCTGCCTATATTTCTGATCGAAAGCGAATAAATTTCGTAAATTTCTGCTTTTATTTGACATGTTGCAAAAATATGACCGCCATTTTTATACGCCATATTCGCAATAGTGCTTCCATGTCGATATAGGTGACATCGATAAGACAATCTGTGAACGAAAAGTGTAAAATATTGTTACTTTCATTTTTCCTTTTTTGTTCTAAGATTCGATAACCAAGTATCTAACAAGGTAGGTATAATTGTTAAAAAATAATAAGTGCCGCTACAATATGGATAAAATATTCCGTACCGTTACTTTATAGTAAATAATTGTAAAAATGTTTATTGTACATAATTTATATAGTAGTAAATTGTGGTCTCTGCCTACCCGAGGAAGGTACGATTTTGTGTATGTATTTAATTTATACAGCACTGATAATATGTTTTTTAGATGTGGAACCCCGGAAACGAAAGCGTGCCCAATGATTTCATTGATATCCTCAACGATGAGGAGTCTGAGTCAGATGAAGAGATCGTTGAGGAGGAAATTGAACAGGAGGGCGACCTAGCAGCGCAAATCGACCAACTGAACGTGAGTAACAGATAATATTATACTCAAACATATGTTCGTAGGTAATGTTTATATGCATAAATAAATATTAGACAATATCACATACCTACGTTGCTCTGATCCCAAAGTAAGTAGCTAAAATAAGTTGTGTTATGGAAATCGGAAACAACGAAGTTACCACTGACACCCAGACCCAAGACAATATGGAAAAGTTAGTCTTTCTACGTTGACCTGGCCGGGAATCAAACGCGGGACCTCCGCATCCGCAGCCCAAATTATAAACATTCATTCACATTCCTATCCAGTGTGGCCGCCCGTGTTCCCGTCATGAAATGCTCAGTTACTTCAAAGCTTATCTTAATGTGCCAATAGACGGTCCAGTGGGAATCAGAATTGTTTAGTTAGTGCAAATTCTTTAGCAAAGTACTTCAGAAAAACAAAGAGTGACTCTGTCCTGCCTTGCTACCTGCTCTGCCAGACGCGACCCTTTTTTTTTGGAGTGTTGTTTGTTTCACTACAAAGTGGCCCCACTTTGTAGTGAAACAAAGAAGGGTCACATTTACTTTTGCTATGATTTATGCCACTTACGTTAACAAAACTGATTTCAAAGAATTTCGTTTTGAGCATAAGTGGTTGAGTTAACCATAACAAGAGGTGTAGGCGATAATGTTGTATAGGGTAGGATAAAAAATATACATGCGTCTCACATTGTAAATTGCGTATTTTTGTTAATGTAAATGTAGGTCGTAGTTACGATATTTTTGAAATATTGTGCTAGTAATAACAATTTTGTTTCATTGCAGCTATTATCTGGAAGTAATATTTTCGTGGTGCAGAGCGACGGAACTCTGGCTCCTATGGCGAGGCCAGAACCCATATCAGACGTTGTGTAAGTATTATTATGCTCTAATTAGGTACAAAACTATCACAATATTTGTATACAGATGTTCTTATTCTATAGTATCTTTCTTTTCTTTACAGAGCCAGCGATACCGACGAGGAAGAGGAGCAAGCCGACGAGTTAGTTTCATGGGCTAGTAGCAGAGTTTTTTCGATAATCATTATACTGCCCATAACGCATCGACCATAATATATCGATTTATCGATATATTATCGTAAGACAGTTTATGTACGAGAGTGATAACATTATATGACCTTACCACTCGTGATAAAAAAGAAATAATTTGTTTATATGATTATGATTATGATATATTGCATCTGGTTTGGTGTTGGTGGTGCAGGAGTTCATTATTTTATAATAAGTTGTCAAAAAAACTTCGATATTGTATCGTAAGACCTTTTATGTACCCATTCGTCTCTTTTTTTCACTTTTAGTATTTAGTAGCATGGTTCATCATTTGTACGTGATTTATCGATACCTCAATCGGCATCGGTACATCACTATTTCACTCAACTTTTTCATACAAATAAGTGGCGGTTTTGATTATGATTTTCTTTTATATTTTGTTTGAATGACGTCTAAAATGAGTGTAACAGAGAAAAATACAGGTATTCTGTTACAATATACGTTGTTTTATTTCACCTGAAAAATCTTTCTAGTAAGAGTATAAGACAAAAGAAAAACGAGATGCAAATGGGGTATCCCTATCTCATAAAGCCTTGCTTGTTATTATCTGTTGAATATTTCTACAATTCAATGCATGTTTCAATGAAATAAGTATATTTTCTTCAATTGAAACTAATTTATTTTCCAATTTGGTTGAAGATCAACAATTACTTGATAATACAAATTTACATTCGCTATCCGACAGTCAGAAAATGGCCGCTTAGTTCTAAGGCATTTAGCTCTGTTATCTTTATTGAAAGACATAAAACCACTTATGTAGAATTTTTAGCTATACATTCAACATTACAAATTGTATAACTTATTTGATCGAAGTTGCCTAATATTTTCAAAAATGATTTATTTACAACCAACACCTACTATTTTTCCTTGTGTGTAAGTTTGTCGAGTAATTATAATGGTATGAGGTGATAAATCCCTTTGAATTACTTACCACAAAAATACAACATTATCGCAGAATACTTTTTTTTTTATTTCAAGTAAAACCGTTTGATAGTTTTTGAATTATCGCAACTTTTGTAAATGTCGGCAAATATTTACTATCGTTGCCATGACAGCGTGCGAGCTTACGGGTGTAAAGTATGACACATGTCAAAAGAGTATAAGGGTTAAATATTGTTTATGTAAGTGGCCAGTTCCGGAAACTTATAGTGCGCCCTATGTAATAAAAGAGTTATAGAATATTTTTATAGTATTGCTAAGGTCATAATAATTTTCGTCCCTTGTTTTGAAAATCGATCAGAATCGAGAACAGTGTTGCCTAACGTATACATCACTAAATGTTAAATTTGGCCAAAGAAATGTATAAGCGGCCGTACTACGAAAGTGAATGCATTATACAAAAGTGCGTTCGTTCGATATTCATAGCGTATTAATAAAGGATCATAAATATATCGTACCAAGTAAAAGCCGCAATGTATTACAAATTTGAGGCATACAATCGGTTGCATATTTGTTTTCTCGAAATTGAAACAAAACGAAAGTAATTGTTTTTAAAACAAATTATGCATCTTCTGATTACAAAATCACTTGCCCGTGGAAGGAAACGTCCCTGTTTACCCGTTTACGGTGTGTGTAGTTATGGTGCTTTTCCAGTTTATAATGGCACAATTATGCATTTTTCGCGTTTTCGAATGGTATTTATCTACGATAACGTGAGTAGCAGCGGCCAGTAAGTGAATTTCACTTACTTTGGGCACGCGAAGTACGGACACTTGCGGCGTCTATATATATATATATATATGTCTGTGGCGGGTAGAGGTGAGTGATAAATAACGTCACGATGAAAAAAATCACGATGATCCGCCGTCAGACAGTAACACCGTGACTCGTTCCGAAGGAACGACGTTCCAAAGTCACATAGGTGTTCCTCCGTTCCAACAGCTATCCCCGTCACTCACATCACGACGTAGGTATTTGATACAATGCGCGATCTCCGTTCCGTGGTGACTGAGCGCGCCACTCGTTGTAGTTCTCTTCAAATCGGGCCATTTCGGCCATGGGAGATAATGAAATAGGATCACTTTCTTTGCTCATTCACAAGAGTCGTACGTGCTTATTACTACTAGAAAGGGCGGATGAAAAAAATCTGCAGCAGTTATTATGCACCTATTTATGAACAAAGTAAAATATTTTTGTATATTTGTTTTATTATAGGAAGAGTTGGTATTTTATATTTATGTATAATCTAGTTTGTGTATTCGACTAGAAATATAATTACATTACATTTTATTGCTATTTTTAACAATCCAAAGATTCGCATTAAATAAGTAAAAACAAAAGTACATTAAATACAAAATCAACTTTTTGAATGGAATTGAAACTTATAACAAAGGGAGTAAAAACTTAAATCATTCTATAAAAAACGGCTATAAGTATTAGAAAGAAGCCGCTGGCTAAAACCGTATGTCGTGATGTAAGTTATAGGCGTGACAAGGTCACGGAAGTAACAGTCGTGACAAAATCACGATGATTTATCACTGTGATTTCTTTGGAACCGGAACAACAATCACAGCGATAGAAATGTAACGCTATTCCCCATGTCTAGTGGCGGGCACCATCTTCCGTATCTACTGTACTCTTGACTTGTGCCTGATCGGTCCCTAGCGGGAGCAATCCTAGTTAGTTCAATCGGGCAACTGAACTAGGTCGGTCTTCTAGTTCATTTAGTTCATCTAGTTCCTTTGTTAGTTAGTTCGTTTTGTCCTTGCTCGGTCATTGAACGAACGTTCCAAACTAGTAATCTTATTCACATGAACTACTTCGGACTTCTAGTATTATGAGGTCAACACTACACTGTACGAAATATTTAAAAATATATTTTGTATGGGATAGGTACTATTTGATTTTCTTTCATATTTTACAGGTTTAAAGACTGTTATTCTAACTAAATATCCTTTTATTATACAATAAGAATTTTAGTTAGAATGGTGTGTTTACAAATCAATATTTAGGTACCTACAACTATTTCATATACTTGTACACATAGGTTGACATTATACATACAAATACCTACCAAAAAATATTACTTTTTTACAAGCTTGTATATAGGTGTTATACATAATATAGATACGAGCTGGGAACGTTCAATCATGCATCCCACTCGAACTTGTACTAAAAGTAGTGAAAGATCGCTATTTGTCCCGCTTGCACCGTTCTTACTGTATTAAAGGCAGGTGAACAGGTGAACGCAGATAGTTCCTAGTTCGTAGTGAATTAAAAAGAACGATGAACTTTTAAAACCGTGCAAGACGAACTAGTTCGTGTCGGTCAGTGTAGTGAATATATTCCTAATAGTTCGTCGTTCACGAACTATACAAGCCTACTTCACTCGCTTCAAGCGAAGATATTTCTATATTATTATTTAGACTCACTGAACGGCTCGTCGCCCCTGTTAAAAAAATGATAAACTTACCCGAAACTGAAAATATACACACTACAATTATTTACACAGGTACTAAATTAAAGATTATATACAATAAATACAAACAAAACTCTCCTGATCCCGCAAAACAATAAAAACCACTGAAAAAAGAAAAACACACCTGCAAGTTTCGAAAGTTTCCCGCGTTTTTTTCGGTGTGAAGATTGTACCACAGACTACATAGTGAACTATAATTGATGCAAGCTTTAGGGAAGAACTCTTCTCAATGCTCAAGTCAGGACTTGAGTATGATTTAAAGCACTAGAATTCATATTCAAGTCTTGCCATTGGGGTCGTATTTCCAGTGCTTGAAATCATACTCAAGTCCTGACTTGAGCATTGAGTAGAGTTTTGACTATGACCCTCACTATAATTATTTCTTATTAATATTGTCTGTGGAAAAACAATACCTTGTCTTACGAAATGAAATAGGATAAAAATACCATAGGAATCCTTAGTTTTATTTTCTTAAACTATCACAAGAAATGTAATTTATTATCACATTGAATAAAAACAAAAAAACTCGTTTTTTCCACTCGGATCTCTGTTGGGATGCACGATATTGTGGAAAGATTACGTTGATCGATCTCTTTTGTTTAGTTACGGTTCATATTTTTATCATAACACTAGATTGTGTCTGCTTATTTAGGTAATATAATTAGGTTTATTTTTGATTTAGCTTTATTGATAGAGTAAACAGCTTAGATGCTTATTCACTCTTGGGTGGTTGAATTTGGGACATACCTAGCGCAGCGTGGCGTCACGTTAATTAAGTATACCCTTCTCGCTCTTTAAACTGACTCATTCGTTGAATCGGGCGAGCGATCACCGAGTTATTTCTTAGGTTTCGTTTTGTGTTGCGCAAAAAAAAACGATATGAAAGAAAATGGTCGTTTGTCGTTGTCTGTGGATCCATGGATCTTTCTCTTTTATTAGTGAACGCTCCCACTGCCGTGGTTAATTGAGGAATTCTGTTGCTAAATATATTTTAGAAAAACACCGTTTATTGCTCGTGTAAAGACTGATGTGCTGTTAATGATCTCAATCAAGATCTCTATGATGAAGTGCCAGACATTCACCGTTATGGACTTGGTGCGCGGAGCGCCATCGCAAGCGCTGACTGCTTCACTGCGATGACCATAAGCGACAGCGGGAACCATGATCGCCAATTTGCCACTGCTCTTTGCCAATGGCAACCCGACGGCGTTGACGAAAATCACCGCCGAGGAGTTGGAGAAGTTTATAACATTCATGGTGACATGTTCCTGGGGACACGACACTGTCAAAGATATCCGTCAGCCGCCGTGGTGGCCTAACGATGTCGCCTTTTCACACCCTTTTGTCCGACCTGACACCGTGCCTAAAGATTGGGAGGCGCGCCTCAAAAACCTGGTGAGGAAGTGTTATGATTTCCACAAAAGCGCATTCCTCCTGGTGTTCTCTGCGCAGCTGGCACGCTACCCTCGTAACAGGCTTCGGTATGTCGATAATCATGACCACACGACGTCTCTCTACTACAGGCCCAACAGTCGGCTTCTGGTCACCTTCAGAAACGAAAACCTGTTTTATGATAAAGACACAGATGAGGTGGAAGAGCCTCGGCTCAAGTCTACTGACATATACTTGTGTGATAACTGTGACAGCCACTTTGACAACTTTGATACTCTGAAAGCTCATGAGAGACTATGTAATAATGAGAACCTTCCTACAAGCACCTGCAATGGAGGCCTATCAGATTTTTTGTCAGCTCTAAAGTTGCAGCCTCTCAATGGAAAGGCCGATCTGTCTACAACTAATGGTGATGAATCATATAACTCTAAACCCAGGAATGCAAGAAATACAACCAATATTGATAGAGGTCCCCCATATCCTTTTTCATCCCTGGCGTACATCAGGAATGCTAAAACAAACCTTCAAAGAGACAACACATACTCACGAGAGAGAGTAGAGAGATACTGCTGCACATCTGCACCCATTAGTAAATTTTTCTTAGGTAGTAAAAGTAAAAATCAACAGTTTCCTATTCGATACAGGAGGCCTATTGACTACTGGAACAGAAAATACACTTTTCCCAATCAGAGAAATAAAAAAGTACTTGATCTGAAAGGCCAGTTGTATCTCCTGAAGTGTAGACCGGTGACAGTTCATGTTGAGAAAATGTCACTGGAAAGCATGCAAGAATATATTGATAAGCTTAGAGACAAGTCCGATAAAGTTGAATGTGTAGAAGATAAAGATGTAGTGTACGTGGACAGCATTGACTGTGACCAAAATGATGATGTGGACATGAAGGACCCACTTAAGCGGCAGGACAATGAGTGTGAAGTGATTGATTTGTGTTCGGATGATGAGAGTCCCGGTGTTAATGAAAACTGTGACCCTCGTGCCGGTGTAACATGCGTAATGCGTGGTGGAGCAGTGCTACGACGCACGGCAGCAGCACCAGCGGCGCATACGTTGCCTGCTGAGCCATGCGGAGCACGTCAGCGACCCTTGCCTGCTGCGATCTTGCACCCCCACCCTGTTATTTTAATCGCAACCACACTGAACAACTTACAGACTATATCGTTAGAATGAATTCATGTAACTGATTTATCTTAAGTACTTGCTAACTATTTATTTCACTTCAGGATTATTATTAAAGACTAAATGTTCAATGGTATGTTTTATTTTAGTTTTAAAATTATAAATATTTGTATACTGATTGATGTAGTAGATATTTCATTAGCTGTAATATTTCGCTTAAGAAATTTTAACGACGGTATTGAAGTACCTTTTTAAAATGGCGGCAACGGCGTATAACAAAATGGTTCCGCTAGTCATCAAACTCTTGTCCAAGTTGCAGTCTTTAATTTTTGTTAATATCTTACTAAACGTTGTTTTAGTATTGTACATTAAAATCGCATCTTGCATTAAAATGCATCTAAAATGCATGCGTGCGCATGCGCTTGTTTTGTAGTGTAAGCTACATATATTATTTTCCTTGCTAAACAAGATGGCGCAGTGGCCACAATGACACAAACAATGACGCCATAGTTCGATTGAGCGGAAACCAAGTGACAAATTCAAACGGCGGCGTGGGGGTTGAACATTATAGACACGTTTCGTGGCATCTACTTATTGCGTCCCCTGCTTCTTATTGTTTTGATTTTGTTCCTATATTTCTTCGAACGATTTCGTTAAAGTCTACTTAATAGTAGCTGTATTGGTTCTACGTGGGGTGCACTATAAGTTTCCAGAATAATTAGGAAAAAAATACTATAAATTTATTGTTTCTCAAAATATTCTCCGTTGGCGTTAATGTACTTTTTCATACGGGTGAACCAATTTTGAAAATATTTATGCCACTCCTCCGTGACAATCTCTGAAATATATTTTTCATACTCTTCGACAGCCTCTTCAGGTGATGAAAATCGTTGACCTCGTAACTGGTTCTTAATTTTTGGAAATAAATAAAAATCATAAGGTGCCAGGTCGGGACTGTACGCGGAAAACCTCATAGGGTCAACGTTGTTCACCTTCAAAAATTCATTTGTCTGGCCGTGTGAGAACTGGCATTATCGTGGTGCAAGATGATACGGCGTTTACGGTTATTTTTACGGAGTTTGTCAATAACTTCCGGCAAACAAATGGTCGTGTACAAATCACTATTCACGGTACAACGATTCTCCAAAGCCAGAAACAAGCCATGTGTCCAGTTTTATCAAAAAAAGAAGCAATTATCCGCTTAGAGGCACTTTGCACGTGCGCCACTTTGGTTGGTTTCGGCTCACCTCGAAAGACCCATATGCTCGATTGCTGCTTTGTTTTGGGATCGTAACTATAAACCCATGTTTCGTCACCTGTTACCATAGTAAAGTTTGGTGTGGGACATATCCCACACCAAATTTGACGCCCCTTCGTTGAATCTGGTAAGCATGGCATTGCACCAAGTGACGCGATCCGTTTTTTGAGCCTCAGTCAAATTGTGTGGGATCCACCGAGAGCACACCCTTTTCACACTCAAATGTTTGTGTAGTATTGATTGTATTTGACTCATGCCTATGCCTAAAGATGCACGAATCTCATGGTATATCATATGCTTGTCTGTTTTGATCATACGACGCACAGCATCGATGTTTTTGTTGTTCACAGCAGTGGACGGGCGACCATCACGAAATTTGTCACTGAGATTCACACGACCGCGTTTGAATTCGCAAACCAGCTATAAATAGTCGTCTTGCATGGTGCTTCATAGCTAAAAGCAGTTTGAAGCCGAGCGAAGCTCTGCTGAGCTGTTAAGTTACACTTAAAGTCGTAGAAAATCATACTACGAAAATTTTCACGAGTTAAATCCATGGTGATGTAGACAACCAATTTCTAAAATGACGCCACAATGAAAAAACAAGTGACAGTCAGATGAAACAAACTGTATTCCACAGCCTAAGTGTTCCATTTTCAAATGTTGTATTACTTTTTAAATATTGTTTAGGTAAGTGGCCAGTTCCGGAAACTTATAGTGCGCCCAATGTCCAGTGGTTCAATATGTCTGAGAAGAGTTTTTTGCTATAATATTGATTTCGTATTGAAACTAGCTTAAAAACTTTTATGTCACATACAATGACTTGGTATGTAAACACTTAGCTGCATTTTTGATAAATAACGTACTCAGAAGCAATTATTATCGTAACCGTTAGCAGACAGACGATGTCGGCCGATGCGAGAGGGTAACAATGAAACAAATCCATCCACGGTTTACGATTGAACGAACCACATTATCTACCTAGCTTATTATAATTTATGTACAATCACCTATATTTTGTCGTATATTCCGTACCCTACTGACAAGGACTTAAAATAGCGTAAAGTATTATTTTTGTTAAAACGGAAGTAAGGCCAGTAAGGAATTAAACTATTGATTTTTTTAATAGCTAACATTATTACGAGACGGCGCGTGTTGAAAGGTACACAAACCTCAAGGCAGTGGGCTTTATTAACTGAGTTAGGTAGAATTTCGAGATCCATGAGGGACAAATTTGAATAAAACGATTAGTTACTTTTTATAAGTGTATATAACAAGGCAAAAACCATATTTACGAAATAAATATCGTGTGTCGCATCATATCTCTTCGTTGACTCTATGGTGCGAGTTTAGAGGCCGGCGACTTTCTTCATCGGAGCCATAGATCACCTCTTCGTCGGAGTCGTTGATCATTGAGAATGCGGGGTTGTCTTTCGTTATGGACGTTTCTGGAACAATAACATATTAAATTAATATTTCAAAATCCTTCCACACGCAATAATGTACTCCAAAATCAGCCTTGCGGTCATCCGTTTGGTAGCTACAATGCCACAGACAGATACACAGATAAGGCTTCAAACCGATAACTCTTCTTTTTTTGCTACGGGGTTTTAAAAATGGCGCAGATTGAGCTATAGTAGGTATATATCAAGTAGGATAGATGGTGGCGCAGGCGCAAATGTAAATGTGGTAATTCGACGATTATCTCCATTCATAAAGTAAAAGGAGATCAGTGCCAAAAGAAAGAAACAAATAATCCAGAGGCAGGGGAACTTTGTTTAAAAATTAAACATCGTACCATGAATGGAATTTCCTCCGGGCGAGAACAAATACGCAAGTATGTACATCTTGAAGTTAAAGAGGCCGTACATGGCCATGAATGGCGCAGAAGTATCGTAATGGACTTTGGGCTGTGATGCCCAGTGATCCTGTAGAGCTCCTGGTCCCCAATTTTGTAACGCCAAGATTGTTGTAAAGAACGTTACGGTGCCAACTACCAGCGATAGACATCGGAGTCTTATATCTGAAAAGATAACATTGAAAAGTAGAAAGTTGAAAGTAGCTCATTTCAGGATTAAATGTTACCAGGGTTGTACAGGTACAATACAGATTTTAAATCAACCGATTTGTATACGCGATTGTTATAATGTCATAACGCGATATTTTCGAACGGTTTTGCGTAAATTCCAGTTTAATTACGCACTTGAAGGTACATTAGCTATTATGGAATACAACTTACCAAAGAAAGGCATGTTCCTGAGGTCACTATAGGCTTTTATTATCAATACGAGCAGGTACAGGAAGTACAGCGTGATGGCACAGAAGAACATTATTTTTACAAACTGAAACAAGAGAGAAATAATTGCTACCTAAGACACTTCTTTACCAAAAGCTATCGAAAATGATATCTTGAGCAAAGAAATAACTTACTGAATAGTTCGGGTTCATAATATAATTGAAAGTGGGATCTTCATATGCGTAATATTTTTGCCATATGGTAAGCACCATCGCTGGAGTCCAAATTAGTCCTACAACGATTAGCTTAAATAGATAGAAGGAGACGAAATTTCGCTCGTTCTGGAAAAAAATGCGATAGTTATTAATGCACTTTCTATTTTCATTTATTACCATCTTTATCTACAACAAGCATGGCCTATGTTTAAAGAGTTTAACATAATTTTACTTTACGTGCGTGTCCAACACGCACTTTCGAGAAAACAGTTTTCGTTTTTCCAGTTTCGCACTTATATTTCTAATGCGCTGTCGATTTGTCGACATCATATATTTTCTTACCATTTAAAAGGGCCAGTAGACTCAATACCTACATATATATTTTGAATTAATAAAGTTTTTACCTGTCTAAGACCGTGGTAAAGCGCTAGCCAAGAAAGCATCACGCAGGCAAGGAAAGTAGTCTGAAACACTGCGTCTACCAATGGTGCGAACCAGCTGCCGGACACAAGTCGTAAAGGGAATATTGGATCTGAAATCAAAGACCAATCTGGGGATATAGATCGTACTGGTCACATTAGACAGGTGTAATGTGGTGTATGGTAACTTTAATACGTATTTAGTATTGACAGAAGCATTTTTACTGAATGTCACGATGTTTGACCATCACAATATTTAATTATTTTTGTGAAATTACTCCACTAGTTTGTTATAATTATTAATACAAAGATCGAACACTTAGAAAAATTCCTTGATCCCGCTATTGCCATGCTTACCATTAAATAACAACAGCAACGGTAATAAAATAGATAGCCACTTTTGTTCGATGGCCCAATCTTGCGTAGAGAATTTTCTAAGAGTGTGTGCGAACCAACACTGAAAGTAAATAATTCGTGTTAAAGTTTGCAAAAAACTAAGAAGTATGTATATTTCTAAGTAAGTATAGGTGACTGTACTTACAGAAACAACAAATGTAGTCAGTAAAAAAATAAATCTGAACCACGTCTCCATTTGCGTGAACGATGGGTTGTAAGTTTTGAACTGAAAAACACAATTATATATTTTTTGACAACTTTATGTGTTGAGATACATATTTGATACTGTTGTTCAATTGACAAAGTTACTTACGTAGAAAATAATGTCTCTAATATAGTATCTCTTGTGGAACTCCTTGAGCCCGTAAAAGCGTATATTTAGAACATAATGCATGTAATCCAGCGAGCCTAAGTGCAGAACCATAACTTCTTCACATACTTGTTTCATGCATTTGAGATGTATAGTTCTGAAATTATTACGTGTATATTAGTGGATGTTGCTAATGGCAATATACCTAGGTACTATTGGTAATTCCTAGAAAGTCGGCATTTTTGGCGATGTTTTGCCTTTAGTGGCCTGTAGGTAGTGTCTTCAAAATGAAAAGAAAACCGAGACTTCTCTTTGCGCTTTTTTTGTGGTACAAATAACTAATATAGTATACGAACTTTATTAACATATATTACTTCCCGCTGCCGGGAATAGGTCACCTTGACGAATTTTATCTTGTTATCACGTGGTGCAGAGGCAGACCCGTGTTAGGACATGAAATTATGACCTCCCGTATGGAGGCAAATGTTCTACCAACTTGGCTACCAATCGGTAGGTATCTATTCCGGCTCAATTTATTATATAGTGTTTGTATACTCACTTGTTTGTAGCTTCGCTTTCAGGTACTAGATTCGTGGTCGTATGGTCGCTAAGTACTCCGTCTATCGATATGCTTACTTGAAAACTTTTATCAAATATCTCCTCTGGAATACGTAGGTATAAGGATATTATTTTAACATTTATAACTTTCATTTCAGTAAAAATAAATGCCATTCGTATTGTGGGAATACTCTGTTTATTTTGTTAAGACTTGTAAGTGCGAAAAACTTAAATACGTGTATAGAAATTTGTGACATAAGACATAAACATAAAGATATGATATAAAGATGGGTTCACAATAGATCCTTAAAGTGCCTACGTAAGTAGTTCATGTTGGTGCCTTACACATGGTAGTCGAAACTTACCATCATTATTATCAGTTAATATTTCAGCAAGCAACCATAGTTGCTGCACACGAGTGCCCAGCGTCGGGCTGTGTAGGTGAAATGGACCTCGGTAAATGTCACTTGCGTTTGTTAAGGCGCTCGACGCGGTTATGGAAGTTGTCGTTGTGGGGGATGGACCTGTGAGGTGAGGAACATTCTTGATAGGCCAGGTTTTAGAAGTACTTAATTTATTTTTACGACTGTAAATTTAGGGAATATAGTCTATTTCTAATTAATTTTGAGCAATCTCACCGGCTAATCCTATGAACACTCCTAAACCGAAACAAGCGAAAAACGCTACAAATACCATCACGAACTCCCCTTTGTGCATAGAATATACTCTCATTTGAACTGATCTGAAAAAAATTGAGATTTAAGTGGGATTTATTATATAAGATGATAAAATTGCGCATCAAAAGTGGGTATTATAGTTTCGACGTATATAATAAGAGTAATTGCAAATTTTGCAATTGCAACTTACCTCTCGCAGCGATCGTGGTGATATGCAGGGGCGATATATTTATTGAATTCGCTGAATAAATCGCTAAATTGCGACAGAGTATTGCGAATTTTATAGTTCCATCCGCCCGACGGCAAATGGTATGAATAACCTACATTAGTCTCCATTATTAGATAAAATTATTTTACAATCACTAAATCGACAAAAATAGTAGACGATAAACACATAAAACGAACGAATTCACACATAAAAAAGGTTTAATTAAAATATTTTTCCCCACATGTAGAGAGAGCTTGTTTACAAGCAATCTATTGATTTTTAGTGAGGGCGCAACGTAGACGTCGACTTGCTGAACTGCTACCACTCTATTATCGTTTACGTTTAAATCGTCGACGATTGTAGATATGGAATAGATTGGGAGCATTTGCCACTTGTCTAGAATTCGAAGTGACGCGGCAGTTCTGCCGTTCTTGATAATAGTAACACCTGTTCAAAATATTTTTCAGGATACTTTTACCGCACTAATAATTGGAAAATTTGTAGTAGACCTTTATCTGCAAACATAATAGTAACGTTGTGGTTGTTCTAATTGTTTTTGACGATATTGCTATCCCGTTTTTAGGTATTGATTTTGTGATACAACGGACAGGAATGGTGACGTGCAGCCGCACAATCAATTGAGGCTATGAGCGCAAACGTGGTGAACCCCATTTTTTTCTACAACATGTAAAGTAATATGTTGAAAAAAAAGTGGGTTACACAACTTTACACTGATACCCTCAATTTTCTTTTTCTTATTCCTGCGTGACCATGGTCGAGTTTTTCAAATTTGACTAGTCAGGTAAAGCTGGGTACTCACTAGCGAGCTGTAACTGTAACCGTTACATGTTATGTAACCAGGAAGCGTAATGTGTACGTGGTTCTCAGTGAGCCGTCTGATTGAAGACTGTTTCAAGCGTACACACTAGAACCTCGTGACTGTACCTGTCACGTTACAGTTACAGCTCGCTGAGTGCCCGGCTTAAAGTCGCCATTTAGTCGGTCCGCTGTTGAAATGTTTAAGGGTGTTTTACTGTCCACGCTATTCCAGCGGCACCATTTCTTAATCTCGAAAACCACAGCACCTAGCTTATATCTGATTACACTTAAAAAAGTCGTGATTTAGTTGGTGCTAGTCGTAAAAAACTTGATCTAGTCGTTGTGCCGTTTTGAAGTTATAAGGATGTTTTACTGTCCACACTGGAATAAATTTATTCCGGCGGCACCATAATTCGTTACTAAGTCGGTTCCAGTCGCAAAATTTTAAAACTAGTCGCTCCTCCAAGTTATCAATTCTTTTCGTCTAAATGAAAACAATAAACAAGCGTCTTATATAGGTATTTTAAACTTTTGCCGATCGTAACTACGTACTACATTACATACATTTAACTTAGGGGATTCTAATGAACTGCTGAGTTCACAAAGATCTCCTGGGGGATTGGGCTAGGGGATTCTGGTGGACTCATCCGCACTTTCGTACGATGTGATGGTAGTTGTCAACGGTCCTTAAATTTAAGTGTTTAAATTTGATAACGAAAGTTTGGACACATACGTAGTTTGATTTAAAATATTTTTTTTGGATGATTAAAATAAAAACACAAAAATACATTAAAATTATTTTATTCAACATTCATGCAGACATAGGCCGATATAAAAATACTTTTTTTTTGTTAGGCAAAACAGATCTTAAGATTGCGTTTTAAAAACGAAATAGGAACTATTTAAATGCTTTGTATTCAATACAAATTCATTACATTATAAAAAACTTAAAAATGAAGAACGAATGCTTAATTATTAGTTTAAAGTTCTACATATTAAGTTGAAAATATTTTAAAAAATCCTAAAGACGTGAACAAATTCATTTTTATTAAAACCGTTTTAAAAATAATTATTGAGATTTAAGTACACATTTCATAAATGCTTTAGACGTATATTTTTTTCTTAAAATATAATCTGATTTAGTATAACGCTTTCAATGTCTATACCATGTTATATTTGATAATCGCTAAGCAATATTATACCTCCATTCCTTTGACTCATAAACATACAGCGTTAATTTATATCAATTAAAATTCCTTTAGATTACCGTATAATTTGGCTTAGTAAGACTTAAATAATTTATTTTATGAAAACAGACCTTTAAAAAAATACATAGAAGATAAAAAATAGAGTACGAGTATAGAAATTAAAAGATTTAATAGATTTAATATCCTCTTCACACGAATCTATTTATCATATTATCTCTATGTCAATTTTGTATAGCATGTTCCTAAAATGAAAGTAATAGAACAGCTGACATTGACATCCTAGATTTAATTCAAAAAGACAAAAAACAAAAGATCAACAACTACTTGAATAGTAAACTAGGTTTATGAAGTAGTTACTTTCACACATTATGTGGAACAATTAATTCGTGTTAGAATAGTTAGGCAGACAGACAAAAGTTGAAATAATTTAACTTCTCATATAAAGTTCAAAAAACTACCGAACTTTTAATGCCGATATTTAAAAAAAAAAGTTAATTGAAATTTTATTTACCTTTTATAAATAAATGTTGAAAATTGTCGTAAATGTTTTTCGCAGATATTGGTTTTTGCTTTGTGATTGAGGAATAAAAAAATATTGCACTTTGAACATAAAAAAAAAATTACTCTTAATTCAACCGAATAGATAATAAATTAATAAAGATATATTTTTTAATATTTATTTATTATGAATTGTTGTTTATTTACTTTTGTTTGGTTTTGTAGAATTCTTTGACAGCCATCGACGTCATCTCTACACTGTTATAGAAACAGAGAGAGTATGAAAAATTTTTCAGGGCGCCTTCATATTAGACGCTTAGAAGCGCTGTAGTGGCGCTGCAACCGCGCGATTACATACAATATTTAAAAGCACAGTCGTAGCGCCACTGTCGCGGGAACATTTGTAGTAATAAATAGTGAACTAAAAATTATATAGTAATTTACTTAGTCATTTTACAATTTTTTTAAATTAACGTTTAAATATCATCATTAGGTACCACTTAATCGGGACTGCTAGTACGTAGTAGCAGAAGGTGTGGACACAGATACCATATCATTATTGTAAAAACAATCTTGCTGGAAATAGACCCTATTACCTATTTAAACCTCTTCATTACTTGAGCGAATCTAGACTCTACTAGATGATAGGAGATCAATGTTATATCAGGCAGTGTGATAATATGCTTAAAGACCACATCACACAAGACATGAGTAACTAGGTTGAATTAACTATGCAGTGATATACACATTATTTTTTATTTACTCGAAGTCTCATAAAATGGCACTTCATACACTGTCATAGAAACCAGCAAGTTCTGTTCCGACAGATATTTTACTCAGTTTCTTAATTCAATCATTAATTGATTTTGATGGGAACTAAAAACTGTGTGTGAAATTTCAAAAGTTGTTTATTTCAATAATTATATTATGGATAACGTATTTAGGAGGTATCGGGTTAATTGAAAACAACTCCTTATTGCTAGTGTGTAAAGACTTAGCGTTTGTTACTATTACAGGATGTGATGTGGGCTAGTTTCGTTTTCGATTTGTTATTAGTCGAGGTAATTAGTTCTATAAATTTCGCAACGCTGTGCGCTGTGGTTATAGCTTAAATGGGAAAAATATAAAGGTCACTGCATCGTTGTGACAGTCGACTACTAAACAGTATGTCTAATTTAAGTTGTCAGCCTGTATTTTTGTTGTTAAACATCTCATCAAATATTAATAAATTTAAGTAGTACTAATGGTAATTTCGGCGAGTGGAGCGGTGGTGGTGATATCGGTGGAATTAGATGGTGTGGTGATTCGTGTACTGGTGGTTGGCGATGGGGTCGAGCTCGTCGTCGTGTCCTTTGGTGATTTGGTGAAGTCTGTAATAATAGCCTTTGTTAGCTTGCATATTAATATAGTAGTAGAGATCTACGTTCCCCGCGCTAATGTCGAAAAACGCAAGGAAATTTAGCGACGTTGTGGGTTGGTGACGTCATCAAAATAAAATTAGCATTATTAAAGCGGATAATTTAAACGTGGTATTTCCGTTTAGATATTAGCATAAAATATTGTTTATTTTTCCTCTATACTGGTATTTTTATTAAATTATATTCTGTACAATTTTATTTCATTAGATTTGAAGTACCTACAAATTATAAATCCTATATAACGTATAGCACGTAAAATTGCCTAGTTTGGGTATTGTTTTAATATCTCTTTTGGAATTAATATTTATTATTATTCTAAAAAATACAATTGCGATTATACTACCCACCACACGAATTTTTAACGCGCGAGTCCAGATCACAAGGCAGAACTTTTAATTTTAGTTTGTGAAATCTCTAGGCCTTGTTGCTGGGACTTCAATGTGCGTCATGTTACATATCTTCGTAAAACTAATTTTAATTCGGAGCACTAAAAAGTAGTAATTCGGGTGAAACATACTGGTAAGGTAGTTATCAAGCCACTGGTTGATCGTCTCTGCATGGTTGTTGAACCAGCGCACGCGCAGCGCGGCTGTGTCGACGAGCCGCGCTACGGACTGCGACATCGGTTTCAGTTCCGCCGCGTGTAGACGAGCGAATGCTCGTAGCTGCGAATATACATATATATTACTTAAGGTATGATACACATTACTTCAATCGTTATAATGCAAAAACCAATTATCTAGAGTTTTTAAAGAAATTGATTTTGTAGCAGTAGAGCTCCTTGCGAAAGAGTTCGTCCAGGGAAGTACTGCCACTTTACCTATTTCTGTCGCCAAGCAGTAATGTGAGCATTAATATAAATAACAAATAAAACTATCTTTTTATTATTCATACAAAAATCGAACAACACAAAGAGAAATTCCTTCCATCTGACTTGACTCGAACCAGTGTCTGTTGCCATGCCGGGGCCACCACCAATTGAATCACAGACGGAGTCCTAAATAAATAAATATTCTTAATAAATATAAATAGTAAATATTGCAAATGGAACTTTCGCCCTTAAGCAAATCCAGATGTCAACATTTCAAAATTGACTCGTATGGCGGTGACCAGTATGAGTGTGATGGCCCTATAGCTAATTAAAAAATTACTTTAA